AGTCTTTAACGGACAATTACTTCCGATTCAAGTCCTTCCATATCGTTTGGATGCATATGCGTACTTGCAATTTTTAGAAAACAATCTCACAAGTTTGCTGGAAGATTTTCCTGTGGATTTGGTATACAATCGTATGTGGTATCAGCACGACGGAGCACCACCGCCTGTTGGACGAAATGTTGTCGCCTGGTTAAACCAAACTTTTAATGGTAGATGGATTGGTCGGTGTGGTCAGGTGCTATGGCCTGCGAGATCACCTGACTTGAACCCTTTGGACTATTTTGTATGGGGCCATTTAAAACAACTGGTTTACGCAGTGGAAATTAATAACCAAGAACAATTAATGGAACAAATTATTAATGCAGTAGAATGCACTCAAAATAGGCAAAACATGCAATTAGTGTACGATTTCCTTATTTTGCGTTGCCAAGCCTGTATTGGTGGTAATGGTGGTATTTTTGAACATTTGATTTAATTATTTTTTATATTTTTATATTATGTAATAAAGTTAAAAATTTATCACATGCAAATACTTTGAAGTCTAATATCTCGGAAACAAAGCCATATCTCCAAAAATTTTATTTTACATTTTTTATCAAGAATATAAAACTGTATACATTTTTTAATTTTTCGCCTCGAGTTTTGAATCACCCTGTATCAAGTGATGTTTTCCTGAAAGGTGGATTGACAGAAAAGGATCGATAGAGTGGCCAGCGAGATCTCCAGATATCACCCCTCTAGATTATTTTTTATGGGGCTACCTTAAATCAAAGGTCTACATCAACAGACCACAAAATTTAGAAGAATTGAAAAATCAAATTCGTGAAGAATGTCATCCAAACCGTTCTAAGAGAAATTTCGGATATCAATTAAAACATTTTCAACATAATTTTCATGAAGATAAAAAATATTTTTTTGAAAATAAAACGAACTAAGAATACCCAAAACTATCCAGAATTTTTTAATCTATTTGAATCTGCAAAAAATAGGGAGTACAATTTAGAAAAAACGGCCGATGAGATCATAGCTTGTACAAAAATGGCGGTAAATATGGAAATTTTACATGAAAATGTGGGTAATTAAAAGCAAAGAATATTTTGGGGGAAAAAGGCCCATGTTTTATGTTTTTATATTAAGAAAAACTGTATAACTCATTGGTAATTAACTTCTTTAATTAAAGAAACTACGATCTTGGTTTTCATTCGCCTTACTGTTAATTAAAAAACGTTAAGAAAAACGGCAATACATCATGGTAATTTTAATTGTTTTCCTGCAAAAAACCACCATGTAAACTAATCAATTACATCTGGAAATTTATCGCGGCACTAAAGCATGTTTTAATGGTCGTTGTCATCTGACTTGGTCCAATAAAACAAATGATAAATCCTCGTGCACATCAGGAGGTGGCGGAGGAGTTCGGGGAGCACCGGAAACGGACATGACGCCATGCTGAGTAGAGCCGGCGGAAGACTTCTCGAAACAATGGCGCTGGTTTTTGTGTCATCGCAATTAGAACATAGAGATGGAGGAGAGAGAAGGAGATGTTTATGTTTTTCGTTGCTCCTCGTTATTCCCCCGCCTTTTATGCTTTTATGGCCCCCAAAAGGTAAGTAGCTAAGTATACCTAAAGATTTATGTAGGCGGCAATTAGGCTCCAACTTACTCAGTTTTATTATTATTGTTATTTCCGCCAAAAGAAGTACAACTCAACTCATTTGCGATTCTCCGATAATTTCAGCAGATGCTGCAGATCCTTTTACAGCCGAAAATTCGTTTTTAAGTGCGTCAGCCCCCCGTTATGACAATTACGAAGATTATAACGAAATCTGGCGTATTACGGGGTGGAATTAAATAGCTAGTATTTACTCGACTTATCGCAAGGGACTTGTACGCACACAGAAGGGCTGAAAAAGATACAACTGCCTGGGGAGCGGTACATTGAACATAAGCCAACCCTCCAGAGGAATATACTTAGTAGCAAATGCACACAATTGAATCGGGTTGATAATTTAATTGTTTGCTGTAATGTAGAAGAGTTGTTTTCGAATTAGGGATAATGTTATGATAAGTTTCCTACCATTGTTTGCCAATCTAAGCGAAGAAGCTTTCTGTCACACAATACGAAATAATAAAGTTGTAATTCCTTTTCTAGAATCCTTTTATTAATCGTAATACATTAGCCCTGCGTTAAATCATTTATATCGAAATCCTTCTCAGCGACAAACCTGATGGCGGACTTTTTCACGGTGATGTTCACCAAAGAAATCTCCTTTCTCAGGGGGGGCTTCTCGGGATTCTCCTTCTCATCAGGAGTGGCGCCTTCTTGCTGAGCTCTCACAATCTGTATCCTCCTTGCAGACACCAAAGGCATGTACTTGCTGCAACCGAGAATGTTTGGCGGTTGAAGGCAGTTCCAAACGTTTTCCGCCGTCTCCTGTCGATTTTCCTGGCACTTGCATTTTTCCGGAGGCTCTATGTAACAAAACCCGACCTCCTCGTCAAAGTCCAAATTGAAATCGTCATCATCGCCGCACCCGCTAGGGGCCAGGGGGTCGAAGTCCTTGCTCATAGTGTATCAGGACCACTGAAAATTTTTATCGAAAAGGAAGGACTGTCAAAGTGACAGTAAACAATGAGCAAGAATGGCAACAACCAGTGACTGGGGAGAAGTCATAAAATCACCACTTTATCCCCTTCAAGAAAACGCCACACCCCTCTGCTTGCTCAAACGAATCGTAAGAAGCCCTCTCCCTTCGTATTGATGCTGTAATGGGCTTTTCTTGGCTATTTAAAGTTTTTTAACTTGGATTATACCAGCACGCTGTGCTCAATATGGTAATGTCGAAAATTGGGGGCTTTAATCAAGTCTTAAAGTGTCATGGACTGCAATCCCTTTACTTCATCAAGATATCTCAATTTATTTGTTGAAATATTGCAGTTAATAAATGATTTATTTTGTTTCACAAGGCAATGCTGCGGATGTGTTGTTAAAGCGAGCAGATAAAGTTGTTGGCGTACAACGATGTCATTGGGTTTTGATGCAAATGCGACAGTTGGCGTGGAGAGAAGAGTTCCTCTGCATTTTGCCTCTGAACGGATATCGGTTCGGGCTCGATTTCACGAATCTGAAAGTCAGCGAAGCGTTCCGGAACCGGCTTTCTTCTCTTATTGATTTTCTCTCCGCCAAAGGGGGACGCAAACCGCCCCCGATCCGCCACCCCCACCTCCTCCTTCTCCCGACGCTATCTTTACTTTACCTTCAGGTCGCACGACTGTTTCGCAGTTAAGACGCGTTTCAAATTGAGGCAATCGCTTCCTTTTTCAGCCCACTCGATAACATCACTTTCTTAATATTTCACGATGTTTCTTCGATTCATTGAAGTTATAATTTTTCAGGGCTACTAATTGATATCTACAAATTTTCCACTGTATCTACGAGTTTTAAAGTATTTTAAAGTGAATTGAGACTGAATCTTGGTTTAAGCAACGTAACCACAGTTTAGTAAACGTCACTGAAAAAATAAGTCTTAAGACTAATGTTGATTTTTATACCAGTCAATAATAAAACTAATATAATTTAACATTGCTATTGGCTTTTTTATCCCCTCATCCAACCCCCCAAAAATATATCGACGATCTGCCACAATTTGTATGAAACAATTTATTTGGTTGCATTAAAAAATGCAACATTTTATAAGTTATGTACTAATATGCTACAATTTGCAGAAGTGAATTTTGGTCTTTGCTTAAATAATTACTATAAAATGTCATTTTTGATTGCAGTTTTTAACACTTCTTTTATTTTTACGACAATTTGGAGAAATACTTTTTTAGTAATTATTGTAAAAAACTCTAGAAAGTTTTGTCATCTTGTACCATAAATTATAATATTTATGTACACACAATTAAAACATTTTCTGGAAATGCAAGGTGTATCAACTACAAATTGCTGTTTTAGGTGTTGTAAGTTAAAGTAATAAATTTTTATATTGATTTTGACAACAAATTTCTTTGCTTGTAAAGTCGAGTAAGCTCAAACATAATTAGGGAAATAATTGACAAGGTTTATTCAGAAGTGCACACGCTACATTTATAATGAAATTGAACAGATAATTATGCATGACACTTAACAATATCAGTACATCTCAGTACACATGTATCGGCCTTATGCGCCATTTTTCCCAAACACCTTATGTCACTTGAAATCTGAATGGGCGCAGTCAGATGTTGATAATTCCTGACCCCTGGAGATCCGACAGGGTCTAAAGCTGTTAGCGTTAATTGTGTGTTTTTAGTTTTTTAAGGACCCGTTTTGTTTTCACTTTAATTTATTACTTTCGGGCACAATGGGGAGACCTTTGTTTGCAAAGGGACAGCTACTGATTGTCCAAAGGTTAACGAGTCAACGAAATACGATACAATGAAAGATGATGAGTCTTTAGTTGAAGGGCTTGTAGTTTTATCTATTACTTGAAAAATGACAACTTTGGTGATGTGTTAACCAAGAACTGAGTTACACTTCGCTTCTGAAGATGGTTGTTCTGGTGTTATATCAGATTCTAATTGTAATTTTGATTGTGTATAACTCGAGAGAGCTGTCGATCTGTTATTTTATCAATCAGTGTCGTGGTGGGGAACGGGGCCGGTCCCGGGGGGCCGGGCTGGTCGAATTAAATGTGTCAAATCGGCCCACTCGATGTTATCGGGCCGAGGGCAATAATGGACTGGGGTGGCTATGATTGCGCGATTGTTTCGAATGGATTGTGTCGAGTGGCTCTTTATGTTCGCTTTGCGATTATTATTGTGCTCCGGTGCCCGATGCCTATTTATAAATTAACCTATATCCCTTTTCAATTTAGCTGTCGAATAAATCTTTGCTACCCCGCTCGATCGGATTGTGTTTGTTTAATGATGTGATCCGAACACCAAGCACATGTCAACACGTCATTATTGTTTTATCAGTCAGTTTTTTTTTCTGCATTCTGTTGCGTGCTACTTACCTATTAATTGATGAGACGCTGGGTACGTTGTCCTGCGAGCAAATTCCTTCGGCCAGGAGTCTGTCGCGAATTTCCCAGGCGAACATCGTGGGATTTTCGCGTTTGTAATTGGCTATGGCGTCCACTACTGGTGGCGTGGCTACTTTCGGTTTTGATCCACCGATCACACCGGCCTTAAAACTACCTGTCTCGTAATACCTAAAAAAATAAAACCAAAATCAATATAACCTTCATTTCTACCCCAGATAATAAATCTGGTTAAATTAACGTTCTATTTATAAATATACATTATTTTGTAATAAGTGGGAAATTCAATTATGGTAAAATTAACCAGGGCCGGGCTAAGAGGGGGGCTAAGGGGGCTGTACTAATTCTGTATGACTATGCAAGTTACATACTGTAACAAGAATTAATTTTTTTGTTTATTTATAATTTGTTAAATAACAATATTGTTCATGATTGGGTGTAACTGACAACATGTGTGTGAATATTTGATCTTAATTTTGTGCAATGGGGTATTTCCATTGTAGGGTGCGACAATAATACTGCGTTTTTTCGTGATAATAAAGTGTTTGTCCATATACAGTGTGTCGCATTTAAGATGAAGACACCCCCATATTTTCGCTATTTCAAGGAATAGAGATTTGAATTTTTTTACATTCATACATGTTTGTGGGTCACATTTTTTAAGATACTCAACTGAAATCTGAACTTTAAACTTGGCCTACTACGAATTCACAAACGGGGCCAGTTGTCGATATTTTGCTTCGCGTTAGAAATATCAAAAAAAATTATTAGAAAAAGTATAGAATATTATTCTATACCGATTTTAATAGCAAAATTCGCATTTCTAATTTATTTATTTTTATTAGTTTTATTCTTGTTTTATACCATTTCCTTAATTTAATAAATTATAATTGATTTGTAATTTCCAAAAATTGTTTTAATTATTTATTTAACGGTCATAAAGACTATAGTCTATAGTTAGTATCAAATTATTACTTTCCATGGCTCCCCTATTATCAAACTAAAAAATAAACTTGTAATAATTTTGTGTGGACCAAAATAAAAAAAAAAATTAAAATGCGAATTTTGTTATGCATTTGTTTGCGACTCACCCCTGTAAAATCTTTATTTATTGTGCGATTTTAACCGGATTTGTTTTAAAGTGTAGATCTTGATAAACTGTATTTTTGGAACAAAAATTCAAGGCCTACTATGTCAGTTTTTAAAAGTAAATTTTTAAGAATTCATATTAGCACTGGATTCACCACCCCTTAAAACTATCCTATACTAAAATTTATTAAAAAATTTTAAGAAAAAAAAATGCACAAAAATAACTACAAAAACATGGTACTATTACTAAAAGTTCAATTTTATTTCAATGTTTTTTCATGGATAACTTGACAAAATAAATTTTTGTAGTTATTAGTCTGCATTTTTTTCTTAAAATTTTTTTATAAAATTTAGTTTAGGTTACTTTTGAGGGGTAGTGAATCCAGTGCCGTACTTAGATTTTGTTTAAATAAATCGCTAATATAAATTCTTAAAAATTTACTCTTAAAAACTGACATAGTAGGCCTTGTATTTTGTATTAATATGGCGTCTTTTGCTCCAAAAATACAGTTTATCAAGATCTACAGTTTAAAACCAATCCGGTTAAAATCGCACAATAAATACAGATTTTACAGGGGTGGGTCGCAAACAAATGGGTCACACTGTATTTTTTTAGACTACTATATTATATTAAAATAAGATTTTTATAGCTCCAAAATGTCCCTGTATATCTGCATTTATACTTGTGTAAAAAGAGTAGGTATTTTTAATTTTCTGCTTATTAACCTGCTTATTTATTAAAAAGGGGACTACTCGTACCTTGTTTAATAAAAAAAACAAAAACGGTTAGGTAACAAATATTTTAAGTATGTCAAAATGTTCACTTAGTGACAAAAAATTTAAAAAAAAATTGTTACCTAGTTTTATGCACAATCCACATTGTGGTTTTATGTATAAAATTTTATTTAAAAAACGGTCAAAGAAAGCTGATGCTCTAATTTTAATGTGATTAAAATCTTTGCCCTTTTTCCATTAAAATCTCATACTCAAGTATTCTGGTGCTCTGATTTTAATCTGAATTTTAGTACCTTCAGGATAGTAAAAAAGTAAAAAAAAAACGTTGGAATTTTTTTTTAATTATAAGTTTTTCCCGCTTATTTAGGATTTGTTCTAATTTTTTATTATATGTGGTCGGGGCTCAGATTAAAAATTAATGTACAAATCTAAATTTTTGTGAGTACATTCAGGATAATTTTTTTATCATTGACGTTAACGCGTTATTAGCACATTTTTTTTTCAAATAATAAACATTAAATAATAGTATATTATGTATCAAGTTTGATAAACGCCATTTTATACACGAATTTAATTTATAAGTTAATGAGAGTATAGAAAAGTTTATAAACGAGGTGCATCCTATATATACTTTTTCTACGACAAATACTTATTATTATCTTAAAATGATTTAAATCAAAAATTTGTATAGAGCGCCATCTATAAAACAACAGGGGAAACTTTCAAATGTCACATTTTTACATTTTATAAACACAATTATAAAGGTTATAAATCGAAATGTATCTTAAAAATTGACAGTTTTTCACAGTGAAAGTAAAGGAAATGTTTTATGAGGACTTTACAGTAGAGTCCGTGCCCGAATTTAAGTTATAGTTTACTGCCGGCGAAATTAAAAGGTCAGTACAATGTTCATATAAACTTTTCAAATATTGGCGTTGAGAAACTATTTAATACTTTTGTATTTTCGTATTGAGATAATAAAATACTTTTCACATTTAGTATTATTTTACAAGAAAGGCACTTTATTTTAACGATTGTATGACATTTGACAACTGTCAACTAACTTAAAACTAACTTCAGGCCGTGACTAAAAACCTGTTGCTAACTTCAGCCCGTGACTAAAGCGCCGTAAAGCCACAACTTGTCAATGTGTATTTAAAAGGTCACTTAGTGTCATGGAAACATGTACGATAAAGGGCGTTTTAAAGGTGGGAGTAGAAAAAATAAAAAAATTTATTTTTTAGAAGGGGCATGTTGTGTCCTGGTTTTTAATTTTTGAAAGTTGGTCACCTTATGCAAATACAATGTATCCTGTTAACCTAATTGCCTACGATCATAAATAATCATTATTGCTGCCATAATGATTATGATTGTATATAGCCTAAAGGCTGATTGATGACATAATATTATCACTATAGTAGTGTGTTTATTTTTATTGGGTACCTAGTTGGTTTATTGTTTTTTGGTATGTTTGGTAAGTTTTTTGATAAATATAAATTTTAAAGCACGATGTTTTTGGTAGGTATAGTAACCTTAAAAAAATGTTAATGGTTGAATACCTATACCAATAAGTTGTAGGTTTAAAAACAAGTTTAAAAAACGTTATTTTACTTGGAAAGCTAGTTATTTAACCAGTTATGCTACTTGGGAATACATCGGGAGTGTATTTTTACGATAAAGCCATTCCACTGACACAAACCGTATGCCCGAAGAATATAGGGATCAATAGAAATCTGCTGTTTGTCTATGTAACTCTATCCCGCACATCGACCCCTTTTTGACATCGCGCTCCCGCCAATAAAATAATATTTCCTGCTAATGTTATTCCTGCTGCAATTCCGCACCGTGACGAATTTATATTTCACATCGACCAGCAATCGAGTTACGTCATTTAATAATTATTATTGGAGGGGTGGGCTTTTTAATTAGATTTCAGCTCCACGCTGCCACTAATCCAATTTAATCTGTGAGTTATGACTGGTGGGACCTTAAATAACCACAAATTAATATGGTAAAAGCAGGTTCATCATTTACCAATTAAATGTCATGATAAAGAAACAATCTACAAAAGGTTTATGGACCCCCTTTCTTTTTGCAGATTTGAATGGATCATGAAATTCTGAATTCAGCAATATGCACATATACCTTTTGGGATGATAGTTTTGGGTATTATTAAGCTTAAAAGTTGTGTGATTTAAAATTTGTTATTTCCAAAAAAATATTTTTTATCTTCATGAAAATTATTTTAAAATGCTTTAAATAGATACATTTCAGTTGGTATTTTGATAGTAAGCAAGCCTATCCGAAAATTCTCTGATAACGTTTTGGATGACTTCCGCACTAATAAAGCGACATACGAGGTGTGTTCAGAAAATATCGGTAATTTTCGTTTTTTGAAACAAATATTTATTTATTCGTCTACATTAATGTTGTCGCCTTCAAAATAGTCCCCATTGGATATTATGCACATGTGCCAGGTCTTCTTCCAATACTCGAAACACTTCTAAAACTCGATCTTTGGGATAGCATTTAGTTCTTTCAGCGATGCGCTTTTAATGTCATCTGTTTGCAAAACGACGGCCCTTTAAGGTTTTCTTTATTTTTGGGAATAGGAAAAAGTCAGACAGAGGCATGTCTGGCGAATATGGAGGCTGGGGCATCATTACAGTATTGTTTTTGGCCAAAAATTTAACAATTTTAGAACAAATTTTTCTGCCACGCGTTTCATACCCAAAACAAAAAAATTTCATGGGATGAGCCAATCGATACACCAACATCATCAGCGACTTCTCTGATGGTTTATAACCATTTCTTCCACTTTTTCCATGTTTTTATCGGTTGTTAATGTGCTTGTGCGTTCGGGGCGTTCGTCATCTTCAACGTCTTCACGGCTATCTTGGAAACTCTTATACCACTTGTAAACTCTTGTTTTACTTATAGCAGACTCACTATAGGCCTTTGTTAACATTTCACAGAATTTATTTAATTTTTTAAGCAAAATTGGATACAAATTCTTTGATCCATTTCTTTTAACGAACGAAAAATCGCCGAGCTCATAAAACACGTCTAACCTTAGCGGCTGCCACAGACAAATTAAACAATGAAAACAGCTAAAGTTTTTATCATACTTCGGGGGCATGTACACCAATATAATAAAGAAAATTTTATGACAACCGGACGTCCGGTTGTCATAAAATTTTCTTCCGCGGACCCTCCGAACCCGCCAAATTTAACAATTCCCGTTATTTTCTGAACACACCTCGTATTTCACGAATTTTATTTTTCAAGTCTTCCAAATTTTGTGGTCTGGTAATCCACCATTTCTGCCCAGACATTCACTTTTTGCCGGTATTGGGAATTTGGCCCTAGTACCCAATGAGGATTTTCTCTGCTCCAGTATCTACAATTTTGACGGTTGACTGTACCATTCAAACATAAGGTAGCTTAGTCCGAAAAAAGTATTTTACGACGAAAGTTTGGATTATTGTTACATAAATTCATCATAGTTTTACAAAATTGTAGTCTACGGTCCGGATCATCTTCGTTAAGTTCCTGCACTAGTCTAATTTTGTATGGATAGTACTTTTATTTCTTCATAAGATGTAATACACTTAACAAAATATCAATTTTTGTGTCTTCACTAATACTTGGAGGGCCAGGTTTTGGAATATCTTTGACATGTCCAGTCTCTCTGAATTTAAGTTCAAAAACACTTAAGAGACAGATACTTAACTGAACGCTCAACTAAAAGTTTTTACATCTAGTAGTGAATATTTGTTTTAAATTATTTGCTAAAAAAGAATTATAAAATAAAAAAACTTCCATATATCGATACTTGGTATTTGTAGAATAGCAAGAAAAATTTTTTCCACTTTCAATAATTAATTTTTCAGAAACTATCATCCCAAAAGGTATAAATGTACATATTGGTGAAATTACAATTTCATAATCTATTCGAATCTCCAAAAATAAAATCAACCTATTCAATGATTAAAAAAAAGCCGAATTTTTTAGTGTAGTATCTCAACGTTTACTAATAAATACGTTTATTGAAATAATCTGATGCCACTTTCTTCATCAATAAGGCAGAAATATGAGGAAGCCGGCTTTAAAAATGATTTACAACGGATTTAAATTAGTGCTAGCTGCCAAAAATACACCTCAATGGCCACCATTATGCTTTACTACGTTACATATGTTAGCTATTCGTATACGTGCATGTGTTGGTGTGTAAAAAACGCCGCCTTGATGTATGTACATGTGGATAGCGTTAGAACGACGAATTAGTAGATGGTGTTCGCGAAATTACCCACAGACTTGTTTATGTGTTCCAATTAAGTGGAGGAAAGAATAAAGCAGCGTCTTAATTAATATTTAGATGGTTACGGTCTTGGGAAAAGTTTGTTTTCAATGAAGTTATTCATGATGGCCATTGATGGTCCCCTTAGACGGCAAGCTCGCGAATATGCAGTTTTCGTGTAGTTTTTTCGTGGCACGTGCGCCAGTAGGGTTCGTAAAACTTACGATTGCCATCTATTATGTTATATAGATGTTTTGCGGTTAGCTGTAACAATAAATTTAATGTTTGCGCTCTCAAGTCTTGGTATTATGGCTGGCATCGCAAATCGAGATTGATTTACATAGATAATTCCTGTTTATACATACACACACACATGAAGGAAAGTTACGCGTATACGCGTTCAAACAAAATATTTAGATAAGTACAAGTTATTACCGCAAATAAATTACATCGCGACAATAAAAACGCCATGCGGAGATAACATAAGTTGGAGCCGTGTGCGGTCCTCGGACAAATAATAAAAGAACCAAATTATAATTTTTTCCTCGGCTAGGTCTTCAGGGGAAACCGGCACTAAAAAAACGGGAAAGCATTACCGGCAGGTCGTGTGATCCTGTTAGTTTCGCCTGCTGAGTGCCGCCGGAAAATCGGGAGACCTGGGGTGAAATACCACGTTGCCAAGTTTCCAGTTTTATAGAATTTGTGTTTTGTTAGTTTCAAGGTTGGTATTTCGTCTTGCTGTTTTCTTCATAGATATGAATATGAACAGTAGATAGTCAACTTGGTGGTTGATTAAACACAGATATACAGGGTGTCACCTAATAAATTGTCATCCTTTGGGCCAAAAACAAGAAAGTTTTTCCTCTTTGACAAAACCAGAAAGCCACTGGATGTCACTCACCTATCCTATACAGACTGTATAGAATCAAGTAAGTAAGGCTGGAGACAAGGATGACAAATAATATTCTGATCAGAGAAAAAGAAACAAACTTTAATTGGGCGTGGTTTAAACCCAGCCATTCGTAATTACGAACCATAGTTGCCAGGTTGATTTAAATCAGAAGAGAACGATTATAATTATTTAATAAATAGTTCAATTTTATTTGTTTGAAACTTTAAAAATAACAAAAAAATTAATAATATGTCAAAAATAATTTGATTTAGTTAATTTTCTTACTTTTAATATTACAAAATAAGAAAAACAACCCTTTTAGGAAACAATAATAGCATATGGCAACAGCGCGGCATGTAGCCAGATACAAGGGCATGCAGTTTGATCTACTTCAGTAGCTCCGACGCTGTCGTAGGGAAATGTGTACAGTTTTTAAGAAATACATTTTCGCCATTAACTGGAATTTAATGGATTTTAAACAATAATAGCATATGGCAACAGCGCGGCATGCAGCCAGATACAAGGGCATGCAGTTTGATCTACTTCAGTAGCTCCGACGCTGTCGTAGGGAAATGTGTACAGTTTTTAAGAAATACATTTTCGCCATTAACTGGAATTTAATGGATTTTAAACAATACTTAGTTTTTATTTGCAGAAATGCATTAAAACAAAACAAACGAATTCGATAAAAATAAAACCTATAAATTCTCAAACAAAAATAATTCTAAAATAACGAAAATCCCTACCACAGTGGGCGGGGTTTGGCACTTGTTTTATTTAAGTGTATCTATTCGTTTTAATACACACTGTATATCATCACAGGTATCCGCACAGTATGTTACGTAATATCGGTTGTTATTGTGGTTCCTCTGGAGATACATGAACAGTTTAGTGTACCAGAGCGAAGTTGACACATTAGAACAACTCCGTGAACTTGTCACTGCAGCGGCAGATGAAATCCGAAATCATACGGATATGATAGCAAGAGCGGGATAGTTGAACATTTATTATAATTTCGTGGTACACTTAAAAAATATCTACATGAGCGTCAATCCACGTAAAAAGTACAATGTAGATTATTGCCCACTGTGCAAACATATTTTGCGACAGTTGTCATAGGTCAGGAACAACCAGTGGCGGCCCAAAATTTCTAGTTTACTTATAAAATTTTTTTGACATTTTTATGTAAATTAACAAGTAAAGAATGTTTAAAAAGTGTGGACAAAAATTAGGTATTTTTTGATCGTGATATTTTTGTTGGATGTGGCAACATGTTGGCACGTGATCTGCGCCGCAAAGGGGCATCGGGGACGGCAATAAACCGAGGAAAAGTATCTCGGCTGAACTTTAAGAAATGTTGAGTCGATACAAAACCAATATCATTGCTTAGTGCAGAAACAAAAATAGGACACTTCTTTACTTTTTACTTACCTCGACAGTATTTTCGATACACAGCCATGGGACACCCTTAATTGCCTCGATATATCACAGGGTCGGACTCCGTTGTGGGCCAGCTCGACTATCCTTTGTCGGACGACATCGGGAAGCGGCCGACCGTTCACGAACACGCCGCCTAACTGGTTCACACCGCCATGACCTGCAAACAAAACAAAAAGTTAGGTTATGACCGTGAATCTCACCGCTGTATAGCTTATGATGGCGAATATAAACCCTGTCGTCCTAAAGAAGAAATGATTCTAAAGGGTGGGCCATGTTTATGTTGAATTATAAAATAGCAATGAGAACAAGAAAAACTGATTTTTTTGCAACGAATTTTGCTTTATTTGATACAATGTTTCTTCCGATTAAGTATGGAAAATGATTTTATTTAAGTGGCCACCTCAGCTGGCTCGGCAGTAGCCCATCTTGGAACACCAATTTTCGAGCACTTTGTCAAAAGTTTGCTGCTCTATTTAGGCAATTTGAGCTTGAATGTTTTGTTTTAAATGGTGAATAGGCTTTTTTACGGCGACGTGAGGATTTTCCGTAGCCCAAATCCGACAGTTTTGCTTGTTGACATAACCTCCGAGGTAAAAATGCGCCTTATCCGAAAAGATGATTTTTCTTGCAAAATTAGGGTCATCGTTCAACTGGTTTAAAGCCCACTCAGCAAAGCGAAAACGTTGTGGATGGTCAACTTGCTTTAACTCCTGAACAAGCTCGACTTTGTACGCAAACATACCGAGGTCTTTGTGCAGAATCATCTTCAGAGTGGTACGGGAAAGGCCGAGTTGTTGACATCTGCGCCGAGTTGATGTTGACGCGTATGCGTACATTTTCGGCCATAGCAGCGATTGCTTCAGGTGTACGTCTAGGACGAGCATGCGAAACATGTTTTATGTCCACCAGCATTACATTTCTGCGCAATTTTTTGATCAAATTTGTAATACTTTGGTTTGACGGCGCCTCATTTCTTCCAAACGCAATTTTCTTGCCGTCTTTGCGATCACAGTCACATTCAAAGTAAGTTTTGAGTATTTCTAAACGTTGATCCAAATTTATTCGGTGCATATTTTGTAATCGGAAGGTTAAAACTAAACCACTGTCAGCAATTCATGGCGCTTAAGTTGAAAGCTTCATTAATAGCACGTAGTTTAAAATTCAACTTATAGATGGCCTTGTCAAGCTTGTCAAGCTGTTGTCATACCCCATTCGGCTATCAGCCGCTCTTACAAAAATCAATTTTATTTGTCAATAAATATTGTTCATAATATTTTAAAGTTGAATATATTATTTGTGTTGCTGTTTTAGCAGAGATGATAAATTTCCAATAATCCACTCTTTTTTTGTAAAATAAATTGTTTTCTCCAGGATTTTATAATTATAATTATAATTGACCTGATATGGCTTATTTGTGCTTTACGATCTTCTAAGACCACTGTGGGGTTTGAGTAATAAGGCTTATGTGTATGATTTAAGGCCGTCGGGCACCATTGCCCGTGTTCGATTGTTCCTTATTACAATAAATATTATTTTTCAACGTTAGTTGGTAGATAAATTTCATTAGGCTATTGCCAGAGTGCGGCTAATTTGACAATTATAGTACCTAACTATTGTAAAATAAAACAATCCAAAGGCAGATATTACTGGCACATTTATTATCGCGCTTTGCTATAACTATAATGACTTATTAAAATTATTTGTTGTTTTATTTGAAATTGGGTCACCGTTATATATTTTACATTGTGTAGAACAATGTCTTTGTCTTCGCTTAGCGTTAGGAGTGTTTTAATTTGATCTATGGACATTTTGAACAACCAATTAACAGGTATATAATCTAGGAAAATATAAAAATGTTTATTTTTTTAATCGTTCTTGCTCAAGAGGTTCTCATGGTGAAAACAATTAGCTTTAATACGGTAGCAAGTTTTACAAACCGCAAATTTAATGGTTTTGTTAGTCGATGTGGTTTGCGTACCATGGGACAAAACGTTGAATTTTTTTATGGTATCGATTATAAATATTTATGCGCAAATAACGTTGGGCTGTTAAAGTTAATCAATTTCCCATCGCCAGCACTCGACGATGAGCTTTCCGCTGAGCGGGAAAGCCCCAGGCCACGTGTGCGACACGTGGCTTCCAAACGACCACCGCTTGTCACTTGATGATAAAGCGACTTCCTGAAAAAATAGAGCTTCAATTCGATCAAATAAATCGGCCAGGCCATAAAAAATATGAATGAATGAATCAGCTACGAAAATTTTCAAAAAATTCTTTATGTAGTTATTTGACCTTATTCTCGTTGTTGGTTGCATTTTACAACAAATATACAAATGCTTTTTATCTCCACAATCAGATACCCGTTACACATTCTATGGTTAAGCCACAAATATTTTTCAATAGTGTTTGTTGCTCCATATTTTATTTTGCTTTAACAAAAAGGTATATTTCTTGCCACGTTTAGTAAAATTCATTCATACCACAACAGTTAATCTCCTACAGTGACCTTGATATCTCGTTTTATTTAATCGAAGATTACAAATCTAGATATCCGAACAAGTCATCGAATAAAATTGACGGCGTCGTCGGCAGAAACAAAAGGAAATCGGCCCGAAAGTACTAATTGATGGCAAACTTTGCAGGATATAAGAAGATATAAATTAAGCGAGAACCGCCGTTAAAATCTTTGATTTGTTTCAAAGATTTGTTAATTGGGATGTGGAATATTTCCTATTTTTTTTTATTTCATTTAAAATAAATTTAAAATAATCTTAAAATGATTTAAATCAAAAATTTGTATAGAACGCCATCTATAAATCAACAGGGGAAACTGTCAAATGTCACATTTTTACATTTTATAAACACAGTTATAAATCGAAATGTATCTTGAAAATTCACAGTTTTTCACAGTGAAAGTAAAGGAAATGTTTTATGAGGACTTTACAGTAGAGTCCGTGCCCGAATTTAAGTTATAGTTTACTGCCGGCGAAATTAAAAGGTCAGTACAATGTTCATATAAACTTTTCAAATATTGGCGTTGAGAAACTATTTAATATTTTTGTATTTTTGTATTGAGATAATAAAATAATTTTCACATTTAGTATTATTTTACAAGAAAGGCACTTTATTTTAACGATTTTATGACATTTGACAACTGTCAACTTAAAACTAACTTCAGCCCGTGACTAAAAACCTGTTGCTAACTTCAGCCCGTGACTAAAGCGCCGTAAAGCCACAACTTGTTAATGTGTATTTAAAAGGTCACTTAGTGTCATGGAAACATGTACGATAAAGGGCGTTTTAAAGGTGGGAGTAAAAAAAAAAATTTTTTACGTTAAAATATTTAAAAAAACACCCAATGGTGTTAAATTTAATACCTAAAGTTGTGTAAAAATTACACTAAGAACGTGTTAAAGTTTAATTATTTTTCGTGTAAATTATTACACAATATAAAAAAAATCAACACACTGAAGCTGTGTTAAAATTTTACATGGTTTCGTGTAGAATTGGAATAACACAGATGGTGTTGGCGCGTGTAAAGTTGTGTTAATTATTTTTCAGGTGTAGGTGCTGTAAAAGTCAAAGTTACGAGAAAAATCTGTTAAGCACTTTATTGTAACATTGTTCACAAGCTGATTACAGTCTAAAAAATAAACCGATAAATCAACCTAATAATTCGTGTTATTACATATTTTTAATTTTTTTTTATTTGCGACCGTTTTAGCTATGGTTGCGTTCGCAACGCGTTTGAAAATTCCCAATAAATCAGCATTAAGTTCCCAACAATCAATTACGAGTTTACACTAATTATTATCCGTTATAAATCTAATTTGTCGGCCACAATTGAATAACACCGCCGATTGGGCAATAAATTAGCGTTTGGGTGCATTTTTTGTTTCCGGCCCAAACGTACAATTCGAGAGTTTCCCATTGGTCGCCCGCTTTTGGTGAAATTGCCGCTAAAATGCCATTTAAATGTGGCCACTAGTACGTTTAATTTTAATTCGCATTTAATATTTGTTGCTGCATATTTATTGTTTAATAAACAGCTTTTATATAAATATGCCACGCTTCCGTGGATATTTATGATATAAAACAATATAGGAAATTCATGAACCTATGTTTTATATTTTGTTTTTTAAATAAAAAAATATTTGAATTTAACTAAAATATCAAAAACTTTTACAAAAATCCTATTTTTCTTTAATATTTCAAACAAATTCCACTTCCGGTTGACATTTCACCCTATAAATTTTTACATTTTTAAATTCTGTATAAAATTCTGAGTAAAATTACTATTGCCAATTACTGTACCTTAAGTTAATATTTTTAGAGTTATTTTTTTTCGTTAAAATTTGTTAAATGCGCGTCAATCATAAATAGCTCATAACTTTTTTGTTATTAGGTTTGCGGATATGGCGGTAGAATTTTTGGAATCTTAAAACATTGTTAAAAAATTTATGTCAATTCTTTAACACTTTTCAACAAATTACTTGAGAAAACCAAAGGCAAATTAGGCTAACTTGAAAGGTTAATAACTTTTTTATTTTAAATATAAAACACCCGACATGTTTTAACATAATCAAATAGTAAATTAAAAAAACTTTCGATTGATATTACTATTTCCTATACTAAAAGTTAATAATTTCTACAATTTTAAATATTATTTTTTATCAACGAACCTGTGACGGGTGAATTGACGGTATCTATGGTTACCATATAATCTGTAATAGTTCAAAATTTAATGACGTCACTTTTTCAGGTTGTTATAAACAATTTGTTGACTAAGTAAGTGTTTTGTAATCAATATTACTGATAAAAATAGCCGTCAGTGACTTATAAAAAACATTGACAAGCCAAACATTTTAAAAATTTAAAAGTTATACAAACAGTATTTTCAATTTTTTTATTATTATTTAATTATAAATAATTCATGACTATAAATTCACAAGACATCAGTAGCGGTATTTAAAAACTGTTGTTGGCTTATAAACTATGGTTAAACAGACTCGAGTTTTATGGAGTAATTTAAATTAATAATCCCTGTAGAAATTGATTTTATAGTATAAATCAGACACGTACATTGTACATACATATGCGGCTGTGTGTGGAAGTAATCTCTGAAAATTAATGGTGTTTACAGCAGGTAGTAGTTAC